TCCCGGGGAAACGTGGCGTCTCCTTCGAGGAGCCCACTCCGAGCTGGACTTCAGGGACGTGACCCGATAGCCCTCTTCATGCACGGCCCGGTTGCGCGCGCCCTTGTATTCGACTCTTCTTCCAGAGAATGGATGCCAGCGCTTACACAGTGGAATTCGCTTTAGAGCTGCTGAAACAAAAACGTGGGTCAAGACGGTTGGGGTGAAAAATAGAGCTACTGCATTAGGCTAACAAGTGACCATCTCCGGGACAGACCTCTAGTGAGTCCAGATATACTGTGTCCGAAAACAGACAAGAATTTGATAACTCAAAGCGAGATAAGTCACGGATTACCAGCCAAGTCATATGAATATGAACGAAGTGGTCCAGGAATTAAGCATCTGCAAAACACTTAATAAATCAAGAATACTGAGAGTCAGATTCTCCCTAACACAATCAGCAACAATAATTAAATAGCTTAAACTGATGATTTACATGAGCCTGGCAGATGTCTGCATAACAAATAAGTGAAGCTCGATTTCTTTCAGTTGAATGATATATTGCCGTTTACTGTATAAGGGAAATTTTAAGATAGGTGTGAAGCTAATGAAGCTTGATCACAAATTCCTGTAATGTGATATATTCAGCTCAACATCAAACATCACATTAATTTGGATCATAGAAATTGGAACACCAAGTTATTATGTCTCCCTGCTTCATAAGCTACCTTTTCTTCTGCAAATGCCCATTCAGAATGGGACATCAGACCATTCTATATTATAGATTAGTTATATTAGTTATTAAACCTTCCCTTAGATTTCAGGTGATCTCTAAGCCTGATAAATTGGATCTGAGTTATTAATTAATTATTAAAACACATTCTCTGTATGTTTCTGGTGTAAAGTACTAATTTTCCTGGTGACATACAGTTTTAGAATTTTGCTTATAATGTACTCTTCCTTAGGCTATACATTACATAGGCTATATGTTTAGGCTATACAGTACACACAGTATTGTATTTATTTTATTAAATTTCTCCCCCACCCATCTCCCCCCAATGGGGGACTCTGGGCGACTTACAAAACATTAAAACCATAAATATATAAAAAATACATAATACATCTAAAATTTAAAAACAGTACTAAAAAAGGAAAATCCAAGATGGAAAATCGGTCTGAGGACAGCCGGCCACTATGGGGCTAGCCATCCCCCTGCTTGAAGTATTCCCTCCCCACCCCAAGCCAAGTGACAGAGCCAGGTCTTCAAGGCCCTTCAGAAGGCCAGGAGTGAGGGGGCCAATCGCACCTCCAGGGGCAGAATGTTCCAGAGAGCGGGGGCTACCACAGAGAAGGCCTGCCTTCTGGGCCCCGCTAGATGGAGTTCTTTTACTGAGGGGGTCTGAAGCATGCCCCCTCTGTGTGATCAGGTGGGACAGGTTGAAGTCATAGGGGAGAGGCAGTCCCTTAGGTAACCTGGTCCCATGCCATGTAGGGCTTTAAAGGTAATAACCAACACCTTGAATTGGACCCGGAAGCAAACTGGTACCCAATGCAGCTCGCGGAGCAATGGTGTTACATAGCCCCTTCTTGGGACTCCAAAAATAGCCCCCGCAGCCACATTCTGGACCAGCTGTAGCTTCTGGATACTCTTAAAGGGTAGCCCCACGTAGAGCGCATTGCAGTAGTCTATCTGGGAGATAACAAGGGCATGAGTGACTGTTCAAAGGGCTTCCCGATCCA